GAAGATGAATGTCCTCTGTCTGAAATGACAATCTTTATAAGTTTTCCATATAGGGACAAAATTTATATTTAGGAAAACTTTTTCAATGAAACATTTGTGTTTTTCTTTTTTAAATTGACAATATTTACCATAGGTCAAATAAGAGAAGGAGTTAACATTTGCTAGTGATAACCGATAAAGTAACATTAGTATTAGTTTTATGTAAAGGTATGCGTTTTATAAAGTAAATACCTGACAACACATCTAGTTAGGAAATAAACAATCACAGGCCCTTAGTGCTAAGCATGTTTACCTGGTCCAAAGTTTCAATAATGTGAGCAGTCTTTTGCCGGGTTGCTCCTCCTTTAGAACGGACGACTCTGATGAGCTGACTTAAGTGCAGGTCTAACTGGGCCATGAATTTTTCTTCAAGAGGGACTGCCATGAGCCTCTGGAACTCTGCATTAATCTGAAACAAAAAAGGGCAGTCCAAAAAGGTGCAAATGATTATCTTAGTCTACACACAATCTCACTGTACAGTAACATGCCCCCTAAAGTATGACAAATGTGTGTATAACTGTTAGTAAGAACAATTTTCTACAAATTATGACAAAGTAAATGTAAAAAAAAAAAAAAAAAACACCACCACCAAAAAACAAGATATACTTTGGGTCACTGAATTTCCCATTACCTCTTTTGGACAGAACAATGCAGGCCATCTGTTCTTGAAGTCCTTTATGGCGGGTTCTTGGTTGACCACCTCCTGTCGTCGGTAGGCAAATGTAGAAGCCATTTTGACTGCAACTACTCTCTCATTGTTCTTTTTATTGATCTCTGTCAAAAGTTCGAGTCTCTCTTTCTCAAGACTTTCCACAGTCTCGCCAACAGGGAAGCCTGGATAAAAGTTTGCTTCTGCTCGTTTTGGCTTTTTTACTTTTTTAGCAGGAAAAGCATCTTTAGGAGCTTTTGCTTTCAGGGAGTTCACTGACAGTTCTGGACAACCCTGTAATTTCAGATGAGTCCTATAATTTCCCATTTTGTATTTGAGTCGCTGTTTCCAACCGTAGCAACCGTTGAATGATCCAGGTTCTTTCAAACAAGAGTGCCTTTTGATTAAGGCCTCTGCTACTGAACTAAAATGTGCATCCTCTGGGTAAGCCTTGTATTGGTAGATTTCTTCTGCTAGTCTGTTCAGGATATCAGTCTTGATTCGAGAGGTCAGAGTCAACATTTTGTGGTGTACATCATATTCTGAGTTGCCCTTCTCCAACAGTAGTTCTGTATCGTAGGAAAACTGAGTAATTGGAAAGTCCTCTGGCCACTGACGTTTTCGAGATGATATGGACTCAGGTGATGAAAGGATTACAGTGTCATTTGATGCCAATGAGATACTGTCATCGATGTCAAATGAAAGTGAATGTGATGATGTGCTTTCACTTGAAGTGATCAAAGTTAGAATGGCTTCCTGATACATCACCTTCACTGTCCCTAAATCATGAAGGTCTGCAGTAGAATTGAGGTTAAAGAAGTCATTCCCAAAGTCTTGATCCATGTACTGAAGCCTGAAGTCCTCTTTTAGCTTAAATGTAGTCTTTATCTGGCTGAGAAGTTCATCTAATGACTCGGGTATGCCATTAGGAAGAGTAAGTTTTTCGATGTTGTGTTCCCCCAAAATCACCTTCAGTCTTGTAAGTCTCAAATTTGCCATGTCAGCCTGAGAAGAAAGCACAAATGCAGTTGATAAGTATCATGTAAGGTATATTCCCTAAATGAGGCTTTATATGTCTGATTAGTTTGTATATATGTGCTAGATGCAAAGTCACACTTTTTACGACTGAAACATTGATCATCAAACTAATCAAGATAGTTCTGAGCCCCTAAAATTCTGTAGTTATAAACCACAGCAAAGACGCACAATAATCCTCTATTTACATAGTCTAAACAACTTTCATGTGTTAAACCAAAAGGCTTTTATCAAATACACTACTCATCAAAAGTTAGGGATGTTCGGCTTTAGGGTTTGCTGGAAACTGGGGTACCTCAAATGGAGTGGCCTGCACTTTCTCCAGCCCTGAATCCCATTGAAAATGCCCCATTTTAATGATATAATATCACTGTGGTATGAACTTAAACGTTTTTCATGAATTTTCCCAGAAAACCAAATATCACTAACTTTTTGTGACCAGCAATGATGAACAAATGTAAGTGTCTTGCAGATGATTTTAACAAATATGGCAGTATTCGCAACATAAATTTCCTATTAGTTATCTACTACAATTATATGTGGGTCAAATCATGACGCAACCCTAACTGAAATGTCAAAATGGCTTACATTTTAAAAGTGTGAGGCAGATTTTTGTTTTCCCACTTAATAACTTTACACAACTTTCCACATTCACATGCCTCAATTTTTAAATGTGAATATATCTTTTCAGGGTGACAAGACGCATTCCTCCAATTTTGTAGTCTGCCAATGGTTATGCATCGTGTAATTCTTGTAACTCAATAGCTTTCACTTCCTTGCCTGGTGATGTCTTGAGATCATATGCTCTGAAGTGCTCTATATACCACCCACTGAGCTTCTTCACAATGAAGATCAACTTGTCCTGCTGGATCACCATGTGGACAATTTCATTAAACTCTGGCAGTCCTCCAAGTGAGCCATAGATCAAGATCATCCCGCACTTGTAGTTCAGTCCATTATATGTCACACTTTTAGCCAAGCACACTATGTCCTTATTTGAGTTCCTCCTCAAAGCATCTGAGATGTCCTTGTTAAGAACATCAACATGAACAGTAGAAACATTTGTTACTTCCAATGTGGGTCTGGAAAAAACACAGGAGTGTAAATGATGTGCAATCTGATACTGGTGTCTCTCTGACAGGGAAAGGAGCACATTTTTAAAGCACCTTATATTTCTTGCCACTCTTTTAAAAAAGCTTGGTTTCGATTCAAAGCGCATTGTCCATAAAGCAACGAGTGGACCAAACTGACAGATCAAGTATGGGTAATGCTCCAAGAAATGGTGTTTCGGTTTGAGTTCACAGTCAGGGAAAACCTCTTGAAATCTAATTCTGTGCTCTGAGATCTTAAAGTCAAGATACGCAATGGACTCCTCAGTATGAAAAGGACTAACAACAAGATCAACAATGTCTTTCAAGTCTATTAAGATCTGCCATGCCGGGTCCTCACAGGGAACGCTCTGTCCAACCAACAGGGGCAAAAATCTGATTAGACTCCAGTTCTCATGCGCGTTGCCCCCAACAGTTTTTCTGGATCCAAAACTCAGAGGCACAGGATGAGGTCGATTAGTTTTGTCAGTCCACTTAAAGTTGAAAGACAATATTGCCTCATTTAATGAGACTAATGTGAAATACTTTTTTTTGATTAATACAGTGAGGCAAAGTGCAAGTTCAAAAGGAACAATTCCATCAAAAAGATCATGCACAATATCTGGAGGAAACCCAGAGGTAACATCAAAATATGAAAGGTGCTTTGACAAAATGCAATTGGATTTCACACCATAACAATTGGGCAATTTGTTTTCCTCAATCTGTCTCAGATGATTTGCATGAATATCTCTGGTCCTTAAAGTAAAAACTCAGTTTCTAACTTCTTTAGTCTGGAACTCTGATCTTTCTGCTGTGCAAAATCTACAAACATAGGATCCTGTGAAATTTTCAACAAATCCAGCAAAACTGTGTGCACCAAGGTTATCAGCGACTACACATTGAACTGTGCCTTTTAGTGTTCTACCCAACTTTGCCACAAATATCCCACTTTGTTCCAAAATTACTAGATCTTTAATTACAGGTTCTAACACTCTCTCATACCCATAGCACTTTAGCTCATTACTTTTGATTAGAAGAGCTAAATAAATCGAGGACAAGGCAGAACTACAGCCTGGTGGCAAATTACCCAGTATCCAATACAAACCACAAATTTTATGCTTCTTCCTAGATGTACCAAGGGGGTTACATATTTCAAATTCATCAATGTATAATATCAATGAAATGCTTTCCTGCTTTGACAAAAGCTTATTTTCTGTGAATGCAACACCATCAAAAAAAGATTTATATACATGCACACAGGATTCCTGCTGCTGTTTGTATACAGTATTCAAATTACCAGCCTGATCTAATATTGACTGGCAGTCAAGAATTTGCTGCAAAGACTGTAAAATTGAAATATATTGGTATGACTTCTTATTCTTTTGGTCAAGTATGTATTCCACTGGTTCCACTACACTGAAGTGGCTCTTATAGTAAACCTTTCGTCTCCACGCACTGGAAAGTGGACCTTTGTCTCCAATTGCTTTTTTTACAGGATTTGTCTCACAAAGAGCACTGGCTAGTTTTTTAACAACTGATTGGTCAAAATGGCATCCATGATCTTGTAAGACTTGGCTAATAGTGGTTTGAGCAATTGGCAAAGAAAGAGAACCAATCAAATAGCTTATCTCCTGCAAGAGCTCATCAATAGCTGTACTAGAGACAAGAAAAATATTTTCCAACTTAAGTAGGACTGAAGCAATTTTAAGCTCAATATCCTTTTCCAAGATTTCAGGATCCACTCTGTCTAATGGAGAATCATAATCGGCATCACCCTGCACACTTTCACCATCTGAAATATCACGTACAACATTGCTGCACAAATTGTCTGAGGAATTTTGCTTTTTTCTTTCAACTATCCCAGGTTTAAAAACATTAGTTGCACATGAGTGTTTTCTGAATTTATGACTTTTGAAGTTGGCATAGACATTTGTTTTATATTCACAGCCTTGGAACATACATGTTACAGTCTCCTTATTTTTAAGATGTTGAAATATGTGCTGAAAATATTCCCCTTCAGCGCACAGTTGATTATAACTGCAGATGAGGCATTTGAATGTGGATAGAGCCTTGGTGGGAGTTTGCTGGGGAGGATGATTTCTTGTTAAGTAGGTCCGTAAGGCATTCCAGGTCTTGAATGTACATGTACAATTAAGAAAGGTGCATGGATACGAATAGCCTCGTCCGAAATGCCTGTGATCAAGTCTGAAGTGTCTGAGCAGTTCAGATCTTCTTATAAATACCCTCTTGCAGTCTTTACATTTCCACATGAAGCACAACACTGGAAAAACAAGGACTTAGGCTTTACAAAGTATATATAGCAGATTGAAAAAAAATCTGGGTGAATATCAGGAGTGAATCACAAAGGTCATCTAATGCTACCTGCCCTGTCTGAACAGACAATCTGTATAATTGGTTAATACAATCTTTTTTTTTTTTTATCTTAGTCAGTTTTTTGTCATCAAATTTTACTCTTTGTAAGTTTTTCTTTATGTTCTACCTTAGTGCATTTTACTTATTAACTTCATCATTCAGCAATTTCTGTATTTTCGGCAATGTACATTTCATTTAGAAAATTATTTAGATATTAATATAACATATTACTACATTACATTCATGTCATGTTTTTTATGCTAACATTCAATCATGTTAGTGTTTAAGCCCACGTATTTTGTACACTTTACACACTGTCCTGAACTCACTGTCATAATATAAGCCTTGTCCATAGCATTTCTAACTAATACCCAACAGCTAAAAATGTCATTATTATACTACAATTTTATATCTCTAAAGCTAATATCTTAAGCTTTGCTAACATCCACTTAATTCTTAACTATTCCATTTTAGATATTATAGGATGAGCAGGATAAACTTACCTAAGTAGTGTGTCAAGGGCTGATCACCACCAGTTCGTGGAAAAACATGAAGAAGTGAAATAATGTTAGGTGAAATAATTAGTGACAGTTTCTACACTGCATTACACTTTA